GCTCCTTGGACGGAACACTTTCAAGCTCAGTTCAGCTGGCACCCTGCTCCCGGACCTCTTCCTACTCAGGTGATGCATGACGAGTCATGGACGGCTAGTTTAGAGCCTCCGTCGGAGACCGAGGTCCGGAACGCGATCACAGCCCTCAATCGTTTTCGTGCTGCTGGCCTGGAATTCCTCTCACCTGCACTATGTAAGGATGGAGGTTTGATCCTCTGCAAAGCACTGACCTCCCTATTCGAACGTATCTCAAATGTTCCGGCTAATTGGAGCAAATCGACTGTAGTGGCAATATACAAGAAGGGCAGTCGCACAGACTGTTCTAACCACAGGGGTATTAACCTAACGCCAGCTGTGACAAAATTACTGGCCTCGATTCTCGTTCGTTGCCTCACTGTGGAATGGGAATCTCGAGTTAGGGAAGAGCTGGCCGGTTTCCGCCTAGCAGCGGCAGCTGTTATAGCAGCGCCACGCATACCGCTGACCGACAATAGCTGTGTTCCTCGACTTCAAGAGTACGTTCGATTCGGTCGATCGATCGGTTCTATTCGAAATACTTGCAGTGAAAGGTGTTCCCAAGAAATATACGAACATCCTTCGTGCTCTATACTCGAACACTACAGGCCGCGTCAGGGTATACGGTGTCCTCTCGGATAGCTTTCCGACCACAAGTGGCGTTCGTCAGGGTTATCCGATTTCCCCATTTCTGTTCAATTTCGTCGTGGATTCTATCATGGGGTGTTCCCTTGCGGAATCTCACGATGTAGACGTTGAAGTGTTGCCTAATGAAGGATAAGTTGATCTTGATTATGCGGACGAAATTGTCTTGCTTTTCGACGATATTGCTGCGGCACAATCAACCATGAATAGCCTGTCTACAGTGGTCCAATTATTTGGCATGCACTTCGCACCTTCAAAGTGCAAAGTGTTACTGCGTCACCACCAGCCACTTTATGACCCCTTGACACTTGCTAACGAGGAACTCGAGGTGGTTGGTCAATTCACTTATCTTGACAGCTGCATCAATAACGATGGTCGCATAGGAACTGAAGTCTGTTCACGTATTGCAAAGGCCAGAGCTGCGTTCTTGAACCTACGGCATCTTTTGCGACAGAAGCGAGTTTCCCTCCGTCTGAAAGACCGTGTATACAAGGCCACAGTGAGGGCGATTCTGCTCTATGCTAGTAAGACTTGGCCTCTCCGGTCCGAAGATCTGAGGCACCTTCAAGTCTTTGATCATCGTTGTCTGCGAAGCATTGCTGATGTCAGATGGCACCAGCATATTCGCAAATATAGTGTACGTAGGCGAGTACTAGGTAGTGATAATCATGATGGCTCCCTAGAACAACAGATAACACTGAATAAGTTGCGTTGGCTCGGGCAAATGCTACGTATGCCTGGTCACCACTTACCTGGGAGGGCCTTGTTTAGTCTGCCAGGTGTAGGGTGGCGCAAGGTTCGTGGTAGACAGTCGTTGACTTGTCAGTTGGAAGTGAAGTTACTGACGACCAAACTTGGTGGCGTTGGTCTGTCTCTCCTGCTGGGCTGGAGTCCACGTGGCTGGACTTGTGCTTGGCTCGAGACTCTACAGGACATGGCTCGCAACCGACACCAGTGACGCGTTTGCTGCCGTCTCCAAGTCGAACTGCCTGTTTAAAGTGTTTGATGTTGTTAACTGCTGGATAATGGTTGATTATGTTGCGGGACAGTGAAAGCTGCAAGGAATCCGTCTCGCCGATGCCACCTTATCTTTACACGATAGCCAGCTGTTTGTGACGGTACGTTGTTAACACAAGGTGTAGACGCCTTGACCCTGAATGTTTCCTTAGGGCATTAAGGTTTTTTCTCTCCCTCTTATTATTCTTTAGCTCATAGCTTCTCATGGTAGCGAAGCATCAGTTCAAATGGCTGATGTATTACTGTTGTTGATGATGATGCTCCAGGTAAATGCCTTTTTACCTTTACCTCGAAACTTCCAATACGTATCGTTTTGCGACTACTCATCTATTCTCGTGGAAGTCATCATTGCGATTCGTGATTGACTCTATTCTCCCAGAGTGGCAGTTCTACCAGATAACCAATTGATGAATCTGCAGCATGCCGACATCGTAGATCTCTTTGGAACGCATGCAATAACTGTGAAAGCACAATTGAACATGCGGACGCTGCTCGTTTCTGCTCGTCCTTTGGATTTCCACAGAGCAGTGCATTATTGCAGCACTTGACCGGCACGCTGCCAGCTCACCGAACGGTCACTGGAAACGGTCGGTCGGTTCACAGGCCTTGATAGCTGTATGGCTTCCGGTGGTCACACAACCTAAAAGGTTAATTTATGTAGAAACAAAGGCCGTATGGATTCTCGAAGTCGCAATCATCTGTTGAGCCGATGGGATATCAGCTTGTCGGTCAAAAATACGGCGAACAGTGCTGCTCTAAGGCCGGTGTTATTGTATGGAGCAGAAACGTAGCCACTTCGCGATAAAGACGTTAGTGGCTTGGTTATTTGTGAACACTAGCTTTTTTCGGAATCTTGTTCAAATCCAGTGGGAACAGCTGGTGAGCTATACTGAAGTCCGCCTCTCGATGTTCCTTGGGTATTTGTTAAACCCAACCCATCATCATCACCAACGCACATTAGCTGAGGGCGAGAGACACGCCTTCGCTAATGTGTCGCAATGCAAATCTGACCCATTTGCCTTGGCTACGTCATGTCCTCTGTATGCATATTCTCTGCGTTACTTGACGTGCATTATTATGGTGAGTGAAACCGCGATGTGGTCAGTCAATGACGTGGTATAAAAGTATGGAGAAAGCGACTGAGCGACTTCGTCGGGCTAAGACTTGCAGTCTTTTGGGGGGAGGGGGCCTTGTGCTGGTCCACATCGGTGTTTGGCCACTGTACCGGATATGACGCTGCCGCGCAGTCAGTGGTGTTCCTGTATTCGGTTTACTGCATCTGCTGTTAACATTCGACCCTTTGCACGTTTTTCCTCAACTCCTTTCTTTGTTTTCCATGTGAGTTCGTTCTTGTCTTCCTTACCTGATAATCATAGCAATCGTAGTAACTGAATGCACCACACCTCTGTGCCTAGATCTTAATTGTTTAACTGCACCAAACCGAGCTCTGCACGGTAATGGTGCCCTACTTAACTGTGTATGTCCGCTCCACTGTGTGCCTAAAACGCTTGATTCTGACTGTAGCCGATCCACCTAGAAAAGCTATGCTCGAGTAAAAAATAACATAAATCGCCAGCTGTACGCCTTAAGGGCGCTTCGCTGCCATGCGACCACAACCAGTCGCGCGTGGGCTGAGTATACCGCGCGGACGCCCGTCCCTACGCTCGAGACTCCAAATCTTTCTCGTGCCGCTTATAACCACATGATATGTTCGGTTCCTCAGCATTGTATCTCTTTTATGATGATTGTTAAACTAATCATACGCTACCAGACGTGTTTTATCTGATTTTGTATTTATAGTCTTCACAGAGTAGATAGCCACTGGACTGTTTAGCCACCACTCTGGGCACTGCGGATATTTGGCCGATGAAGCATAGCGCATCGCTCGATTGCTTTATTAATCCGATCTACTCCTTTTGTATGTTTACTTCCCTTTTCTACCATATCGAAAGTGTTTCAAATTCCTCCGTTACATTTCCCTTTGAATGATCAATTTGGTGGCAGATAAAATTTTGCCACCAAATTTCGATATTTCCGTTGCGCAAAGTCAAAGCGCCTAGCCACATTTCACAAAACCCTGGAAACTCCACTGGTATGACTTCGCATACAGATGAAATGGCGAGACTTCTCAACCCTGGATATCTGAACAGTCTTGTTTGTTATTTTTGCTTGGTGCGATACCAACTACCACGAGTAGTCGATCATTCACACTTCCATTTTTCACAGTCGGCCGATGGCCCAAACATTATATACCTGCTTTGTAATCCGAAGATCAGCGTTTCGAATCCACGTATGTACGGTCGACCCCGCTGTACACCCAGGCCATTCTCGACCGATGGTGGTGGTCGCGTGTCACCAAAGCATCGAAACGGTGTGCCATTTTTCACACAGAATGCATGGAACTCAGTTCAAGCGTTGAATGGGTCCTGCACCCGATGGAGGGTTACCTGTCACTGTTTGAAGGATTTTTCTGCGCAGCAGGGTCTGTATTGGTGATGTTAACGACTTGATATCAGTCTGCTGCAGGTGTGAACAATATAACATGGGGACGTTTGTCTAAACTAGTCATACTCGTTTAATATGGTCCACTCGACGCTGAGGTATGCATTTGTTGGTAGCATTCGACCAACGGGGCTTTTGCTACATGACCCATGTACACTCTGGGCGAGCATGTATGCGTTTGTTTTTTTTGCAACACATGTACACCACTTAATAGCTCGGTGCACTTTGTGGCCCTATGCACCAAGTTCTCATGAGTGGACCGTCAACTCACCACGCTGCTTACTTTTAGTACGCGCCGACATCGACTCGTTAGATCAGGGATATGAACAGTAGTCTATACAACCTGGCTTAAGTACGATTGCGTGCGATGTGCCTGTACATCTTTGCAACAAGCGATACGACGCCGTCGATTCGTTCCTTGCACTCAGAAGCAATTACTTTACATCGCTGTTTTGTTCCAATAGCCTGCATATCTCTCTCTACACTATTTAAGATTTATTACATTGTGTTTTCGGATACCTCTAGCAATAAGCTTACCAGAATTGGTACTTGTTGGGGACCAATCAAACACAGTCTTCTGATCTTTCAAGCTCCTTGTTCAAACGGCATATGATGATGTTCTGCCTCGTAAATTGTTGCTGGTTTCCCTTAGTTTTCGTACTTAACTCCGTTCGTTTTACTACCCATATTTTGACAAGCTGACTGTCCAACGCTTCAATAGCCAGTCGTAGTTTTTACACAGCAATTTACCGGCACCGAGCACTTTTGTTGCTAATCCTGGTATTTTGTTCACCTTTCTTTCATTCATCCATTTTCTGCAGATGCGGGTTCCGCGGCGGTTACTGTGAATTGACCAACTTCGATCCGGATGTTCGAGCACAGTTATACAAAGCGCTGTCGGCTCGACTTTGCTCACCAGTTCTTGGTCAGGTGAGCACCTAACATGCCATGAAATGTTGACTCTTCACCATTATGTATCATTAGCCACATTGTGTTTCCACTTAACCACTTGCTTCCATTGGCATCAATCGCTGTCTTCGAAACGCAATCGCTTGTGGTCTGCACCGAACAGTCCTTGCGGTTGGCTTCTTCACATTTAAATGGCTCATGGACAAATAGTTATTTTCCAAGCCGTCACCTATCACCAACATCTCTTGCGAATTAGCGATGATTGTAGGTTCCCAATTTCTGCCCTTTGATCATTTAGACCGGCCTCTGTTCTGTCATTGTCCCAATAAGTTAATCCAGCACGACATAGAATGTAATGTGCTTTACACCTACCGTCAGCAGAGCTGATGCAGCGGAAATTCCATTGTGGGCTTCCTGTTTCGCTATTCGAGCTGTCTACTTCCTTGCGCTCACGCTGATCTCTTCTCCGAGCGATTAGGTATGATTCCAATAGCATCCATTCACTGATCTCTTTGTAACTGTTCTCGCCCACCAGCTTGACGAGATCCCAGTCGAAATGCGATGGATGTCAAAACTAGACCACGCTTGGGTTCATCATTTTCCACTGGCCTCTTGATGTGACTGAACTTTTCCGCGTGGAACCATAGCATGCGTGATTTCTCGGGCCATGAAAAGGTGTTGTTCTAACTATGATCGGATTTACTTACACCGCATGGGACATGTATTATAATTGTCATACGAACTGGTTTCCAGTGGAAAATCGAGAAAATACCGATGATGCACCCTTCAGAAAATTACTGAGTTTGGTTTTACTGATCGTCAGCTGAACTCGTTTAGCGCTTGCCCCCGGTGGGATGGCACAAGTGCCCAATGGTGGTTTGCCATCACACACTGCAAAACCAAATGACTCTTGGCTGTTGAGGTATAACCTACCAACTCTGACCTGCTTTCTATCTTGGCCGAAGATGTATGGTCTGCTACAGTTGAAAACATGCTTGTCTGGTTCCGAATCTCTCCGTGTTGAGTGTGACCAGCCACAAGCAAAACCCCTCAGGGTTCTGGCATCGCACTCCCGGATTGGACCTGCCTCTACTGATTTGCGTCTCTGACATTTAACTACCGTTGAAACTGTCCTGTAACTTACAGTCCGCTCTTCTCACCTACCTAAGTGTATTATTTATACTTGGTCACATCAGTTTCCGGATTTGCTTGCCATTCTGATTGTCCACCACCAGCGGACACTTGCATCTGCTATGGAACCCCGGATAGATTAGGGCTGCCTTGTTTGCAACTCCACCCATCTACTGGGTATCCAGTGTTAACCTGACTGGTCATGACTAGGAAGCATGCGGATGGAAGTCGCATTTGAATTGGCACTGGACCACACCACCACGTCTGCACCTAAACCAATGTTGCAAGATCGCTGGAAGTAGGCCCGATCAGACCGTCAGAACACGTGGAGGTTATTGCTCTTTTGAGACCTGATCTAGCTGACATACGACTACTGTCCACTAAGTTGACGCAGCGTTCCCCACACGGCCATACGTCTCTTATCTTCGAAGAGCTCGCGTCATTCTTGCGCAATTGGATTAATAGTCACCGGGCAACTACAGGATAACGTGCTTATTTCGTTTGGCGTTCTACTCACTGGAGAGATCGGAGCGTGTGTGCTTCCTTAAAGCATTCCCCATCCACAGAGAAAGTGAAGCATTGTCATTTCGATTCATTTTAACGTATGAAATTCCTCTGTGCATTTAGCGTGATTGTATAGTTCAGAGGCATTGAAACACTGGTCATCTCTAACCGTATGTTGTTCACACTCCGTGGAGTCACACTGAATGACTATATGCATTGTGCATACTGGTCTGTGCTTGGCAGCTGACCTTCTGCACTGGGCAGTTTGTTGTCCCGAACCACCACCTGCACTGTCTTATTCGCATTTTGAACGCTTACGCCGGTATGGACTGTTTGTCAATACTGTACTTTAGGGGATGCACTTGCATGTTGACTTATCGGTGACACAGTAATGAAAGTAGCAACCTTACGACGACTTCATCGATCTGGCTCATGATTTCGTACTGAATGCTCACTTCGAGAGCAGCCATTGTTAGCTGACTGTACCGTATTCTGTTGCTTGCCTCTTAGTTCTATCTGAGGGTCCATTCTCAACGGACTTTTGTTCACGTCCACTTTCTCTCGTTATTCGTCTCCTTGTTTACATTGTTTTTGGGCTATATTATCGGCATTATTGCGACGTCTGTCAACCAACTTAATCCACCATAATCTGTAACCCGTGTCGTGCTTGATCAACTCAGCTGATAAAGGTAAGATGTGAACTATGTTCAGCGGTAACACGTTTCTCACTGCTGATACAGCCGGCAAGATAGGTGATGTGACCATCTGTCTTACCGCCAAGAGTCGAAGGATTGTCATGCAGTTGGCGGTCCCGCAACAGAATTTTACACCTCGGAAATTCGGAGCGGGACCGCTCCGCCGAAGTTGTCTAGGGCTGAGCTTGCTGCCTCACGATTGTCAAACAGTAAGGCGATATCTACCACATGTGTCGGGTATAACTGTGTTGCAGTTCAACGCCTGAATCGTGTGTTTCTGCAAGGGAACACTTCACGCTTGCAACCATGATAAAATTGGACAGACATTGAGCAATCCGATAACCCTGGTAGGCGCAACTTGTTATCGGAATGTCGTCAGATGTATCACCATAAACTCTGACACAACACGTAGCTATTGCATGTGAGATATGCAGTTGTTATGTGGAAACATTCTTTTGAGCACGTGTGTTGAATTTGACAGAATGATCAAAAGAGGCTAACACATTCTCGAAATAGTGGAGCACCGCGTACGTGTTACCCTCCTTTAACTCCTGCTACAGACGCGTCCCGGACGGAAACCGGTCTGCCCTTCCGACACCTAAAATTCCGTTCCCTAGTAAGTCAACCAACGGAATTAGGCTGATACCCCTATGGTAGCACAAACGAGGTGACTGTTCTTCGTGAATCTTGCGACTGTGATTCATCTACTCCGGCTGGTTAAAACAATCTCTTTCTTACACACTTGTTTGAGCACTTAGGCGGACGCTTTGCAGAAGACTTCTTCGGCATCCTTAGATAGCATGGATGCGAGATAATCAGGACCGGTAACGTAGCACCGGTTGGGGCTATAGTTGAGTTTCAAACTTCAGCTTCGTTGGCGGCTTCAAACTAACCTCCCACAGCTCAGCATGCACTGCCCAAACACGACGCTGTCCAAGAAATGAATTGCTCCTAAACGTGCTTCGCCAAGTGAGGCACTTGCACGCCATGCAGAAAGATCTGGTTTTGTCCCTTTGACGCATGGGTGCGGATCAGGAGGAAAGCTTCCTAGCTGTTGACACTGAACTCACTAGACACACTCGTTAATTTGCAGGTTCCGTTTTACTCAGCACCCTATATTCCGTCTAGGCACGTTGGGTGCAGTATTCGAGGCTGACTTTCATCCTGCTTTTCGGATTTGCAATGCTCTGTCTGCTTGCAGCTGTTAGTACCACAGTGGAAGGGAGCGCACCATGCATGTAGGCGGTAATCCTCCAAAATTCTAAAACGAAGATTTAGTACACGGAACGTCTTGGCAGGTCTGTGCTCTGACTCCCACTTGGTTACGCCACGCTCTGACGATCTGGTATCAACTCTCCTAATCGGACGGACGTATGGGACTTGGAACTATATTCACGCACGACAAGGTAACCGGAGTTTGTACGACCCGTGAGACTTAGGCGCAACACAGTTACTACGCGCGAGTTGAACGGGCTCCTAGACCGAAAGCAACTTCACACGCAATGACCCGAATCCGAGAGAATAAGACAAAAGACAGGCCATTCACAACCGACACTTTTACCGGCCAGGTTCAAGACAATTACAGCGCAGCCCAGCTTTTATTATATACCGCGATTGTGAAATATGTGACTTTTCACGTAAGCAAACCATGGAAACAATGCATAAGCAAGTGAATTGGCACTGTATGAATATGCCAACGGAACATGTCGAAAAGTGAATGTTTGCAGATGCGGAGACTGGACTGAAAAAATAAATGTTTCTTAGATACAATGGTTTTAATGTTTCATGACTGCGGAGGTTGGCGGGAAACAGAAATGTTTCTTTGGTACAAAGGCTGATCGAAACGTGAATGTCTCACGAGTTAGAAGGCTTATCGAAACATGTGCACTGGCCTGCATACGTGTCTCATTGCCTTCCGTGGTCTCAGCTTGTGATCATGTAGGGACATTGGGCCCCCATAACATCCTCCTTCAGGTTTAAACATATCGTTTTAGTTGCGGGTCGACCTGCAGTCTTTCGGTCTTTCGACGGATGCGTTTCGGCCTGCGCTG